GGATGCAGGACCAAAGACACACCATTCTGGCCTGGGACGGGATATATATATATATATATATATATATATATATATATATAGTTAGTAGTAATGTTTGTGGGTTGTTTAGCTCGGGGTAGCACTTACCAGTGAGTAGAGTCCATGCCAGAAATTGTCATTTAAGGGCTTGTCGGCCCACTTTTATTAAAGAAAACAAAAAAGTGCATAAAATGTATGCTTTCCACTCAGGGGGTTTCCAACGTCAACACACTCAGCCTCCTGGCTTACACATCTACCAGTTCTGCTCAGGCCTTCCACTTCAGGCCCTCATCTGTCTCCCACAGAGCACTTCCTCACCAACACTGTCCACAAAGCTGGCAATCCCTTGCTGCTCTGGTCCTCAGGCTTGTCCTTTCCTTCCTGGCTTCTCCCTTGCACACACCTGGATTCCTCGGGTGGGTGGAGCACAGAACCCTGGTCATGCCTATAAAAATTCCAGAACCCACCTGCACAATCAGTGTGCTGGCTGTTCCTAAAACCTGGTCCCAGGATTGGAGATTTCATCCCTCTCAGATCACTTTGAAATCTCCAGGCTCCAGGTCCCACTTTACGAAACAATGAGAAAACTGAGAAGCCAGTTTCTTCTGCATTATGCAAACTCCCTGGAGCCCCTCAACCTGCCTAACTGAGAATCCTGGGTGGCATAATATCCTTTTAACATCATGATAGTTGATCGCACTGTCATAGAATACACTATAGTGCCAAAAGTAATGGGACGCCTGCCTTTACACGTACATGAACTTTAATAGCATCCCAGTCTTAGTCCGTGGGGTTCAATATTGAGTTGGCCCACTCTATGCAGCTATAATAGATTCAACTCTTCTGGGAAGGCTGTTCACAAGGTTTAGGAGTGTGTCTATGGGAATGTTTGACCATTCTTCCAGAAGCGCATTTGTGAGGTCAGGCACTGATGTTGGACAGGAAGGCATGGCTCACGGTCTCCGCTCTTTGGGTCCTTTCACACAGGCGTTCCATTTTTTTCATGAGTTCAGTCATGTTTTTTCCACGAAAAAACGGATCAGGTCACAGTAGTTTTTCATCAGTTTACATACGTTTTTCATCAGTTCACATCCATTTTTTACATCCTTTACCAATGCACAAATGGACTGTATGTCTGTTTACATCCGTTCCATTTTTTTTTAATGGAAGAAAAATAGGGGTTTCTTCCGTTAAAAAAAAAACAGATGTTAACTGATGCGGAAATTAATGGATGTAAACAGACAATCATCCATTTACATCCGCTAGTCCATGGAAATACATGGGTGCCGTTTTTCATCTGGAAACAGAAAGATGAAAAACAGACATATGGAATGCCTATGTGAAAGGTGCCTAAATCATCCCAAAGGTGTTCTATCAGGTTGAGGTCAGGACTTTGTGCAAGCCAGTCAAGTTCCTCCACCCCAAACTTGCTCATCCATGTCAGCATAAATGAATTTAGGGAAGGAACCCTAACAAAGAAGGTAACTTTTGTGATCCAGATAGTTTGACTAGGTAACAAACTGTTTTAAAGAACCATCAAGTAATCAACAATTTGATACAAAAATATATATATATACCTCCACCCATCACCATTTGAAAATTTTACAACATTGTCAATTTAAAACCAGGGAGTCCGGACTAAAAATGACTTCGGAATGATGTTTGACCTTCAGCAATATCATGTCTTAGGTATCACAGACCTTTGCTCAAAACTGAGCATAAAGATTAAACAATGTATCCACTGAAAAGGAGGAAGATGACAAGACATAATGCTGAAGATAGCAACTACTATGCAATACTGTGTACATCTATCTCTAATTGATACAAAACAACTTGTATAATGTATCAAAACAACAGTGATGAGGCAAAGGGAAGATTTGAGAATGACAGGAGCAGGATTGAAGGTTGGGTGAATGTGCTTGACACGAAAGTTACCTTCTTTCTTAAGGTTCTTTCCCTAAATTAATTTATTTTGCTATATTTTGGGTACTGTGATCCACACCTTGTATGGTGTATTAGTGGACTTTAACTTTGCTCCCTTGTCCTTTTTGGGGGTTTTCTGGGTTAACTGCATTACCCTAAAAACATTTTATTGCGTTAATTTGGTCATCCAAGTCTTTATGGACCTTGCTTTGTGCATTGGTGCGCAGTCATGTTGGAACAGAAAGGGGACATCCCCAAACTGTTCCCACAAAGTTGGGAGCATGAAATTGTCCATAACGTCTAGGTATGCTGACTCCTTAAGAGTTCCCTTTACTGGAACTAAGGGGCCAAGCCCAACCCCTGAAAAACAACCCCACACCATAATCCCCCCTCCACCAAACTTTACACTTGGCACAAAGGAGTCAGGCAAGTACCGCTGTCCTGGCAACTGCTAAACCCAGACACGTCCATCAGATTGTCAGGTAGAGACGCGTGATTGGTATCTCCAGAAAACACGTCTCCACTGCTCTAGAGTCCAGTGGCAGCTTGCTGTACACCACTCAGATGCTTTGCATTGCACTTGGTGATGTAAGGCTTGGATGCAGCTGCTTGGCCATGGAAACCCATTCCATGAAGCTCTCTGCACACTGCTGTTGTGCTAATCTGAAGGCCACATGAAGTTTGGAGGTCTTTAGCTATTGACTCTGCAGACAGTTGGTGACATCTGCATACTGTGCGCTGCAGCATGTGCTGACTCCGCTCTGTCATTTTACATGGCCTACTATATCATGGCTGAGTTGCTGTTGTTCCCAGTTGCATTCACATTGTTATAATACCACTAACAGTTGACTGTTGAATATTTAGTAGCAAGGAAATTTCACAAATGGACTTATTGTACAGGTGGCAACCTATCACGGTACTACGCTTGAATTCACTGAGTTCCTGAGAGCAACCAATCCTTTCACAAATGTTTGTAGATTCAGCCTGCATGTCTAGGTGCTTGATTTTATATACCTGTGGCCATGAAGGTGATTGGAACACCTGATTCCAATGATTTGGAGGGGTGTTCCAAAACACACACGCACGCACGCACGCACGCACGCACGCACGCACACACTTTAAAGTGAAACTACTGTTGGTGAAGTTATATTTACTGTATATTGAAGCTTCCTCTGTCCACTGGCCCACCTGCCAATTTTACATTCACCTGTCCCCTACCCAGTGAAATATTATCGTTGAGGTCCAAAATTCCTGAGCCACAAGTGTGCTGGTCATCCTCCATTCAGTCTTATAAGAAGTCCATCTTAGTGCTACTCCATGTTCTAGCACTATGAACCCTTTATAGGAATTAATGTAAAGCACAGAGTGCAAGCAGGGGTCTAACTCTGAATATTGTGATAAGTGACTTTGTGATACGAGTGAGATTTAGGGCCAATTCATGCTGACTTGTACTAAAATGTCTAGAAAATGGATGTGCATTTCCATCCATTTTAGTCACGTGCTGACATTCTTTGACATACATTATTGTCTGTTGACATGCATTTTAGTGTGCGTTAAAGCCTATTGCATTTTCACAAGATATCTTGTGCAGTGTGCTGACATCCGCTTACATCAGTTTACATCTGTTGTGCAGTGCTAAAATGCATACATGTTGCATTTTAGTGCAACGCAGGTCAACACAGTGTTATGGTGTGAATAGGACACATTGGTAAATATTGTTTTTCAGATGTCCCTCTGTCGATCTGTATTTTACATCTGCACTAAAACGCAGATCAACGCACTGGTGTGAATTGGCCCTTAGACTGACATGGGGCTGAGAGCAGAGAATGCTACAATTTAAATGTAGATATTATATATTATCATCAACACTGGGACTATTACAGCTGTTCTATTAATTGATTTAACATGTGATTTATCCTTTCATTAAGGCATAGCACTTTTTAATGTGAGTAGGGAATACCTAGGTATATATTTTTTAAATAAAGTTAATCAGTTTTACACTCTGGCGGGTCTCCCTTATTTTCCATATGCCCCATCTGTGATTGTATCTTATATTCAATAAGAGGTGAGTTGGAGGTCCCAGGATTGCTGCGAATGATGGATCCTCTGTTTAAAACAGACGCTATAGGGTTTATTTACTAAAGCTGGAGAGTCCAAAATCAGACTCCCTTCTGCATAGAAACCAATCAGCTTCTAACCTCAGCTTGTTCAATGAAGCTTTGGCAATGAAACCTGGAAGCTGATTGGTTTCTATGCAGAAGGGAGTCTGATTTTGGACTCTCCAGCTTTAGTAAATAAACCCCATTGAGTTGGTGAGTTCTATTGGTGTTGGTAGGGCGGTGATGGGTTATAACAGCACTTCTTGACAATTGTTAGCACAACACTAATAGCACTTTATGGCAGAGTGGATAATATCATTATGAAGGACTAAGAGACTTTTTTGATGTATGGACACTTTATTTATGCAATGTTTATAGATTTACAGTATATGCACAGATAATTGGTTATCTGTTCATTCATTTGTTCTGTAACAGGAGAGTGCAATATATCATAAAGTGTATAACTTAAATGTAAGTTTAGAATCTCCCTATGTTACTACTGTCCCTGACTGTGCACCTCTTTCCTTTTCTGTAAGGAGTTCATTAGTATTAAGGGGCCTGTGATATACTCTGGGAATAATTTGTTAATACTGTCACCCATAATCTCTTAGCAATATATCACCTCTATTGAAAAGATCATATTTTTATGCTTGCCTTCATATTACTTCTCACATAGAGAGATACCATCCTTATGGCAGAAGAACGAAGAAGAACCACACATTTCAGATTACCAGTGGTCATTGTTTTTGATGCCTGTTTTTAATGCCCCAGACCAGTCATTTCAAAAAAGATATTCTCCCAAGATTTTATGTACATTTAGCATATTTTATGCATATTACTTGTCTGTGGGGGCCTATTCACTAGAGTGGTTGTTGGGTGGTAATAACCCATGGTTGAGCTGTGCTTTTAACTCCCCTGAATCACTACCTCTTTAGCCACAGAGGCAGCGGCTGGGGGTATTTCCTGCACTGCAAAGCACACAGACTTTATAATCTGCTGCAGTTGCCAACACATAGTTAATGGTACCCCAAACACTAATCGCAAACACAGTGTGTTTGCCTGCACCAGATCGCATGGTACTGCAGTAGCATGCGATTTGGTGCAGTGCATATGCTACTTTATGTACTGTCAAGAGCAATATGCATGCCATTTAAATGAATGAGTCAATTACTGATATTGCGCTAATATACATACATGTAAATGAGCATGGGCATCACAAAAATATATAATTAACCAACAAACACAAATCAATAAATCATATATATACAAATGTGTTAGAATAGAAATCATCACATGCAAGTGAAAAAAGTGCTCAATAATGGGTAAAAAAGCAATCCAAAGAGACAGGAAGTGATGTCAGATACTGACAGGAAGTGATGTTAGGTACAGACAGGAAGTTCCATGTGGTATGAAGTAGAAAGGAGACATTGCTGGAAGTGGCAGCAGGGGAGCTGTTTCCTCCTGTGAAGTGTGGTGATCATATGATCATCACATTGCCTCCACTACCCTCCCTGATAGAATAGAGACATAAAAAGAATATTCTAGAAGTCACTGAGCTGCTTACAGGAGAGATTTTATATACTGAATAATTGGGATTATCTGAGGAGTGACTTAGAGTCTATGAGGTCTGGTTTGAGAATATGAATTCCGGCCTGGGTCTATGTTATAAAGCAGATGCTGACCTGTCTTACTAAGAGGTCAGCATATCTGGTAAGCATCCATCTCACTGGTGTTTGGTCGCGTTGGTGTTTATGGAAGCTAAAAGGAGGACCCTGAAACATTCACTTTAAAGGGGACTGTAACATCCACTTAGAGGGCCTGCTACATTTTGGAAACAATTGTGCACAGTATTGTTCCTTTTTGGATTGCTTTTTTTACTCATTATTGAGCACTTTTTTTACTTGTGATTATTTCTAACACATTTGTAAATATATGATTTATTGAATGGTATTTATTAGTTATATAATTTTTTGGCACCTATGCTCATTTGCGTGTGTGTGTGTGTGTATATATATATATAAATTTGTGCAACACCAGTTATTGATTAGAGAGGATCTCCTCTTTTTGCGTTTGCAACTTTAGTTATTTATTACTTTGCATGCATTCGTGTGGTTTTTTGTTTTATCATTTAGATGGACTGCACAATTGTACCACACGAGAACACAGACCCCTATTCTCTTTAGCCCCAGAGGCAGCAGCCAAGGGTATATACATGCTTCGGCAGGAGATATACTATCTGTTATCGATTGCGACCAATTCAAATGAATGGGGCAACTCCACAAATGCTCCAAAACCGCATGCCAGTGCAGGGTCCGTAGGGTTAAAGAAGGTGGTGAGGAGGTGATACTTTAACCCCTTGATCACTCTACTGCACAAGGTTGCAGGGTGCTTGTGCTCTCTCAACCTGCGTGCCCCTGGAGAGCAGAGGAGAGAGTGACACTGCTGACCACACATCTATCAGCACAATTGTATATCCTGCAGCTGTCAGTTTACCACTCTGTGGCCGGGCAAGGGATTTACTGTGAGGAACTTGAGAGAGCAGCAGCCACTGGGCAGAGTGTAGGATAGTATGCTGGAGAACGGTTACCTCCTGTGCAGCTCAGTGAGTGTTTCAGGCCCTGGGCTTTCTGCAAAACATGCCACTCAGTGTGCAGCCCGATGTGCTGTTTCCTCATATGTGAGCTCTATTCCAAGGGCACCATCCTTTTCTGGCGATGCTTGCTCCTAGGCTAGATACATTGAGGTGGAGTGCAGTTAGTATCCTGGCTTCCAAAAGCATGTTGCGCTTTGTGCTGCAGTTTGGAATTGTGGGCAGAATTGTGCCAAATCTGCCTACGATTCCTAATCGTCCAAGTGTGAACGGGACTTTAGGGCCAAGGAGCAAGATGTTATGTTACAGCAGCATCCATCTTGGGTTAAACCTTAGAGGAAAGGCCATGAACCTGGAAGTGTCTGAGATATTTAATATCTCTCCCAGCATGCAAACACACGGCTTCCAAGCCTGGTGATTGGGCAGTTTATTAAATATCCTTAACACAAAATATTAACTCTAGCACTCCCTGCTGAAGCGATGTCAACACGGTGTGTAACTGAGTTAAATCACTCCATGCTTAGAGGACACCAGTCGGTGCACAGCTAAGTTGACTAAAGCTCTTTATTTGCCATCTTAAATGTGATGTCCCCAGCCCCCAGCAGATTCAGAGCTGTCATTCAAGTGGCACTCTGTAGTATTATCCTTCACTTCTTCCTATAAAAGGTTGGTGAAGAGAGGGGCAGAAAGGTTTGGCCAATGCAGACAGTAATGAAGAGGGGAGAGGAGAGGCAGAGATGTTGGGCCAGTGCAGACAGTAATGGGAAGAGGGAGAGGACAGGTTGTGCCAATGCAGACAGTAATGAGGAGAGGTTGATCCAGTGCAGACAGTAATGAGGAAAGGCAGAGGATGCACTTGGGAATTGACATGGTCAGATGTACATTGCAAGTAAATGAAGAAAAAAACATAAAAAAAAATACAAAAAGGGGAAAACACTGTAAGCATTTGAAATACTTATATTTTCTGTGATTTTTACCTGCATACTTTACATTGATGACAGGGTCTTTTTAAAAATGTGAAAAAGTGGCAAAACATTTTAAATAAAAAGTAGATGGCATCAAAACAACAACTCCAATGAGGCACTACAACCATAGACTTTTGTAGAGTTGGAACACCATTTAAACCTTTCTTTGGTTTTAGATAGAGAGGGAAAGGATTGGAACTCCATGTATGGTTTTACTGCTGTCTGCACCCTCATTAGGAAATGTCTTTAGTTTCATGATAAATCAAGGAAGGCCTCCAAAATGAGGCACAGAAAGCACTGACCCTGATTTATTTATTTCAGATACTTGTATATCGTCGTCAATTTACGCAGTGCTATATATATATATATATATATATATATATATAGTGCATTCACATCAGTCCTTAACCCTCAAGGGGTGTACAATCTAAGGTCCCTAACTCCCATTCATACATACACATACTAGGGCCAATTTAGACAGGATCCAAATCACCTACCAGCATGTCTTTGGAGTGTGGAAGGAAACCGGAGTACCCGAGGAAACCCACCCAGGCACAGGGAGAACAGGCAGGTGGTGCCGTGGTTGGGATTCGAACCAATGACCGTAGTACTGCCAGGCGGAAGTGCTAACCATTTAGCCACTGTGCTGCCCACACTAACCCTGACCAATTTTACTTAAAAAAAATAAAAAAATAAAAATAAAAAAATATATATATATTTTATTGCTTCTGTGTCCGCAATAGAGGGATTTCCCAAACCTTTCTGTGTATGAAAACAGTTCCTGGAATATGAAGTGCGATAGAAATCAACCCAAAAGGAAGGCACACAGCAATTCAATTCTGATGGAGATTCTAAACATTACCTACTCAAAATAAAATATATTCTACTTTAACCATATCTACAGGAAAAAAGCAAACAGGAAAAAGTACTAATAAAATGCATATCTTTTAATGTACAGTATGTGGAAAGCTCTGTTTTGTAAGACACAAATTGATTTCATTACTGTCATCTGGAAAGTTTTGTGTTAGCGGTCTATTTATTAAACAAAATTGGATGAATGTGACAAGTATTTTCCCATCCTTCACGAATTCTGATAGTATTTTTCTTAATACAGGGATTTCCTATGATCGCCATCTTCATCTAGTGGTCATAATGCAGTATATTTTCTGATTGCGGTATTTTAGGGTAAATATCACATTATGGTCACTAGATAAAGCTGACAGTTTATCTTTGTGAAGAAGGGGCAAATACTTGTCACAATCATTCAAATTGTTTTTATAAATAGACACCTGCGTGTCCACTTTTAAAGTAGTAAACATGATCATTTTCATGTTAAGTAATTCTCCATATTTTCAGATTTGCAGCTTTCGTTAAAATAATACTTGATGATCCTGCTTGTTCAGACACTTCCTGTTATAGGCTTACAACGCTCTGTCCTGTCCCATAGTCGTGCTCATGTGTTGTCACTTTGTCATAAAAGGTTCCTGTGCAGATTGCTTCCTTCAAAACCCATTACACAGGAATGCTGCACTGATGTCACCATCGGGAAGTCAGTCCTGAGAAATTATCTCCTCTGTCGTATTCAGAAGGTAGTACCGCTTGATGAATGTGAGTCATTTTACTGAATGGGGGTGCTCCACAATTGCATGCATTGCACATGGTCGTGGAACACTAGTGCAGGGTTTACGGGATTAAAACAGACAGTGAAGAGGCAGTACAATGCCTTCTCACCACCTGTCAAATGCCCTCTGAATAGCTATATAAATGCAGGTTGCTCTTCAGAGAGCAACACTAGTGAAAACTAGCCCAAAATGTTTAGGGTCTGCATCTACTTTAAATAATTGTGTCCTCACTCACATATACAGTAAATGGAAGAAGGATATTTCTTGTTGCCTATAGTGACCATTGAAACATTTTGTTTCCTCCTATCGCAGTATGGGAAATAAAAAAAAAAAGAACATAATTTGTTTCTGTGTATGTTACTTTGTTCTGTGCATGAGGTTCATGGCAGTGTATAGGTTGTGTGCTAACTATTATTTATTACATTGTCTCAGGAAGGATCTGGTGAATGGTGGACTTTATATTCTGAAGTTGAAACTGAAGGAAGTGAAGTGTGTGGAATCAGATCCCCAACCTCCCATGAAATATTATTGGATCTGTTCTTTGCAGAGCCATATGGTAAGTGAAAATGATTTGTCCAAAAGAAATTCATACATTTCCTCGTAAAGTGATATTATGTCTGCTATACCATTCACAATATGTTTCCCCAGAGACAATATGCTGGCGATACTCCAACAGTCTCTATTTCCACACAAAGATATTTCCTGGTCTTTGCTTACATTACCCATACAGTGAGCAGACTCTATCCCTTCTTTCTATAGGACTGATAGGACTTACAAAACATTGCAAAGACTGAAAGATGACAAATGTTGCCTTCAGTTGTTTTCTACACACATGAAAGGTCTCGCCTATTTTAGAATGAGATGTGAAACTTGGTCTAAAACAAGCAAGGAGTTTTGTACAATTTATTCCATGCATTTGTGTATGGTATGTATTCCTTTATCTGCTTGCTGCAGTTTATTTGTACTTTACTGTGTGGGGAATCTTCCATAGGAATAATTGGCAGAGCACATGAAATGCATTGGCTTCTTTTTTGGCCGATAGGAGTGTATATAGGTAGAACCAGGGGCGGACTGACAACTCATGGGGCCCCCGGGCAATAGGGGATCATGGGGCCCCTATGTCCTTCCCCAAACTCAAAAAAGCCTATGAAAAAGGTACCAGGGGCATCTCATGGGGCCCCCTACTGACCCCGGGCCCTCGGGCAGTGCCCGAGTTTCCAAATGGTCAGTCCGCCCCTGGGTAGAACTGGAAAGGCAAGTTCCATCACTACCAGAAAATGACATTTTAACCATTCAGAATGGCCCAGCATTCGGCCATAGTCAGAGCAATGAGAGCTCCTGCAGATACATACAGACAATCATAGATACCTGCAATCTATAACTGTTAGCAGCTTTCTTTTTTGTTTTATTGAAGTGGCTGTAAATCCTCACATATACCCAGTGAGGGGGCTATCTTCAGGTGATACGCAAAAGCATCCTCTTATGTAGGAGGATGAAACACATCCTCCTACACATGTTGTACGTGTTTATCGGCAGTTTTCTCTTCTCTACATCTGTTCAAAGTGCTGAATTTATTGTCTGAGAGTTCAGAGAAAAGAGGCAGAAAGAAATTACACATTGCAGAGCTCAGTGAGAGGAGCTCTGAGAGCTGATTTAGGGAAGGGACACCCTGAAATTACACATTGCAGAGCTCAGTGAGATTTTTCTCTTGGTGTCAGTGATTCAGGTTGGAGGAAGGAGGCAGCAAAGAAATTACACTTGGTGCTCTTAATTGAGACACTTAGTCTAGGTTCACGCATCAGTGTGTTTTCCACAGCGTTTTGCCGAAACGCACTGTAATCCATTTAACATGATTTCCTATGGGACACGTTCACATCTCCGCGTTTTCACCCAGTGCGTTTCTTGGAAAGGGTCAGGGACTTTTTTAAATGCAAAAAGTTGCTTTTTTGGTTCTATAGACTTCAATGGAGACGCTGCAGAAAAGCATGTAGTGTGTTTTTGACACGTTTTTCGTTTTAATCTGCCTAGCGACAAGAAAAAAGAAAATGCGTCAAAAATGTATGTGCAAAAATGCAAAACGCACTGCAGAAATGGATCAAACGCAAATTGCATAGGTTTAAACCTAGCCTTACACAGTATAGAGGGATATGCTTTGCTCATATTTCTTGTTTGAGGTTTACAACCGCTTTAGGTGAAAGAATCACTTAAAGTGTTGTAGTGATGTGCCTCCTTTTTTTTTAATCGCTTTCTTTGCTTTTCCTTGACTCCTTTTTATCTCCATTCTGCACAACCTGCTGAGCTCCCACAATCCAGGGCTCCCTTCATCTACTGGATGAGCCCAAGGATAGAAACTAAATACTATAGTCATCCTCCTGGTGAGAGGTGTTTTCAGGGAACCACAAGTATTTGTTCTAAAATGTGTTACACTGTGGGGTTGATTTTACTAAAACTGGAGAGTGAAATAGTCTGCTACAGATCTGCATAGAAACCAATCAGCTTCCAGTTTTTTTGTCAAAGCTTAATTGAACAAGCTGAAGTTAGAAGCTGATTGGCTACCATGCAGAGCTGCACTAGATTTTGCACTCTCCAGTTTTAGTAAATCAACCCCTGTTTGTTTTGCATGTGAACTTTTCTGATACTCTACACTGTATTGTGATTCCAGCCAGTGGTCAAGTGTGGAAACTATTCCTAATCATTCCTGTTACTGAGATGGCTTCATTGACTTTTATTCTCTGTATTGTCAAATCTCTCTGTGTTCAGTTGGCGTTTTCTTGACCATTTGATCATTTGGCTGATAACATCACATAGCAGGGCTATTTCAATTGTTAAGGATGCGGCTCGAAAAGCAGTGTTTTGCAACATTTGTGTTACTGAGCTGATATATGCTACATCAGTTTGCTGTCTGTTATAATTGCTCTTTGTAAAGAAATATATTAGGTTCCATGCACAATAGTGTTTTTTTTTTTTTTTTTTTTTTTTTTTTTTTTTTTTTTAGCTCCTACAATCTTTATCATTTTTTTCTGCTCCTAGAAGCAAAATAGTGTTATCCTATGTGTCCATGCACACTAGGCTATTAGCCTTTTTTGCGCTTCAGCATCTAGGAGCAGAAGTAAAATTTGTTTTTGGAGCATTTTTCTAGCAGAAAAAAACACAAATCGCTACTAAAAAACGCTATTACCATTATTATTATTTTTTTTTTTATCCAGCTTTTTTTTTTTCATTAAAAATAACAAACATGCTATACTTACCTACTCTGTGCAATGGTTTTGCACAGAGCAGCGCCAATCCTGTTCTTCTCGAGTCACCCTGGCTCTCCTGGCCCCTCCCCCCTGCTGAGTGCCCCAAGAGCAAGCTGACTGCTCTGGGGGGGTACTTGTGCATGCTCACACGCCTTGTATGTTCATAAGATATACCAAGCAAGGCTTGGCCCTGTCCTTGTTCCCTCCTAGTTGGTTGTGATTTACAGCAACAGGAGCCAATGGCTCCTGCTGCTTTGTCTCAGCCAATGAGGAGATAGAGACCTGGGAGAGCCGAGGCACCTGTGTACAACGCTGAATCGCGATCAGGCTCAGGTAAGTATTGGGGAGGCTGTGGGGTGAGCTGCACACTGAAAGTTTTTTACCTTCATGCATAGAATGCATGAAGGTAGAAAACCTTCAGCCTTTAGAAGCACATTAAAATAATGCCCACCTCTGTGGTTGATACCTTCTTTTTTTTTTTTTTTTTTATCTTACCATTTATTTTCCCAATCTATGTCAATGGGGTTTATTTATAAATGTTTCCACACAGGATTTACACATCTATCACCCAAAAATCCTTACCCTTTTTGTAACCAGATCAAGCATAAAAATGTGTGAATTCTGGGTAAAAATTGTATGAATCTTATGTGAAGCATTTATAAACAGACTCCGACAGTGTTTCTGTAAAAAGTGGTAGCTTTAAATATATACATTTTTTAAATATATAAAAATCAAATCATTTTTATATTTAAAAAAGGGTTAATTGTATGCATAGAATGAATGACACTTCTGCGATGTGTGTACACAATGTTGGTGAGTATTTCTGACATATTTAGATGTTTGAATGGAATGTTTGTGATTTCCATGGAAATCTTCACTTTTTATGAAAGGTATGTAGCGCTTGAACCATAGTATACTATTTACAAAAAAACTTTACCTTTTACATTAAAAAAAATGCTCATAATGAACCTGTATTTTTTTTTTTTTTTTTGCTGTTTGTTGGCTAGCAGGCACCCTCTTTTTATACTGACCTTCCACATACTTTGCTGCTGTCTTTTTTCCCAGGTATAATAGAAAGCATACTCTTTCCATTGCCATGGCCCACCAGGTCTGAGCACTCCTGTGAAAGCAAAAACACCTCCTGTGCTCAGGGAGCACTGCTGTCACTTGGGGGCTGGGTTTAGGGCTTTTAGTGCCACACATATATATCTCACCCTCCTAGATAAGTGCTAGGATTAGTTGGATTTAGATTAGGCAAATTTGCCTTGTCTCACTGCATGTGATTGTTTAGGTCTGCTCAGTGTTTCAGCTGCTGCTTGCTTGTTTCCTCTGCTTTCTAGAAAACAGTAGAATCCTCTGGAACATAGGTGTGGAGCAATGCAAATAGAAGTATGAATATTTGTACAGTCCTGGCCAATCCTTGGAGGGTAGCCCTGAAGGCTGCTAGGAGTCTGTAAAAAATTTCTGGGAAACTGGGAGTTTCTGGGTCTTTGCCTATGAAGGGGAACTCCAGCCATGAGGGCATGTTGCCCTCTGGGTAGCTCTGCCATGTTCTTGCTGTTTGTGAGGCTTTAGGTGGACTATCTGAGGGCCTGGATGTGGAAGCTACATAGAGCTGACTGAGGGGTTGTCATCTAAAGCACTAGTCTGGTATCACAGGAGAAAGGTGTTGCATGGTTGTTGGAAGGAGGCAACCAACTTTTCCTGGACATTTGTGAGTACACACTGCTGTGAGAAATCTTAGAGACTTTGGGGCTGCTGCCACCCCTCTTGTGCTAGAAAATAAACTGTGTGTTTGTCTGAAGGGGACATTGGCTGGTATCCTAAGGAGCTCAGTCTATCTAATTCTATGTGAAGGGACTCTGCTCTGGTTTTGAGAAAGTAAAGTGGCTTTTAACTGCTTCCACTACAAAGTCAAGTCCACAGTTTGCTATTGCTATTGCTTCACTTTTCAGATAGTTTATTGTCTACAACCTGTACATAGTTTTCTTTTTTGGAATATCCCACTCAATTCCCACAACCCTATCCCAGTTACTCAAAAAATAAAAACAAAAAGAACATCCCTTAGACAGCGTATTGAACCAAAGAGTGACTGTGAATGTATGCCTGCCTGCAGGGCAATCTACTGGGGAAAAGATACACTTACTTGCCACTTTATTAGGTACACCTGTTCAATTGCTTGGTACCACAGATTGCTAATCAGCTAATCACATGGCAGAAATTCAGTGCATTTATGCATCTAGATGTGGTGAAGACAACTTACTGAAGTTCAAACCCAGCATCAGGATGGGGAAGAAAGGGGATTTAAGTGGCTTTGAACATGGCAAAGTTGTTGGTGCCAGGTAGGCTGGTCTGAGTATTTCAAAAACTGCTTATCTACTGGGATTTTCATGCACAATCATCTCTAGGGTTTACAGGGAGTGGTCTGAAAAAGAGAAAATATCCAGTGAGCGGCAATTGTGTGGATGAAAATGCCTTGTTGATGTCAGAGGTCAGATGAGCATGGGCAGACTGATTGCTGCAACATTCAGATGGTGAGGTCATAATTTCACGTGAACAACATGAAAGCATGGATCCATCCTGTCTTGTATTAACAGTTCAGGCTGGTGGTAGTGTAAGGGTGTGGGGGATATTTTCTTGGCACTAGCAAGGTGTACCGTGTGTGTATATGTGTATATATATGTGTGTGTATGTATGTGTATATATATATGTATGTACCTGTATCTATGTGTGTGTGTGTGTGTGTGTGTGTGTATGTGTGTGTATATGTATATGTGTGTGTGTGTATATATGTAAATATATGTGTTTTTATATGTATATATGTGTGTGTGTGTGTGTATATATATATATATATATATGTGCCACCCTCCGCGAAGCAGCTGAATGGTTTTGTGATTTCTCTGCACACCTGAAAATGACCCATTTGACTCGTTCACCCCAGCACTTACCAACATATCTTGA